ACACACACACACACACACACACACACACACACACGGAGGGAGTGAGGCTAACAAGGATACGGACCGGTCATGTTCATCCCACGTGAATCTAGTTCATTAAATCTCCATTACATAGTGTGTAAAGGTGTGTTTGTGCAATTCAATTCATTGTGAATTCAAGTTTACTAAAGAGAAACCATGAAGGGCATTTGGGAGATAATTCTTAAATGCAGTTTAAATGCTTCACAACCATAAATCTGTTTCTCTCCCCGTATTACACTGAACTCTCTCATGACTCCTCAGTGAACGTAGAATCAGTTTACAGACTCTCACACTGGTTCAGTACAACACTATAAGTCTTATTCATCCAGCCGTCACCACTTCATTTGTAGCTCCTCCTACGAAACATGATGCGCCGTTATTGGTAGATGTCTACATAAGCCTGAATAAAGACCGCTAAGTAGTTTTGTTGCCTGAACCTAATTAATTAGTTTGCTGTGAGGACGCAAGTTTATTTTGAAAAGACCGTATTTATGGAACAAGCAGAAATGAACACGTGTTGGTGGATTTTTGCAGAAACACGCACTGAAAATGAAGAGTAACTTTTCATAAGATATCATACAAACCGTTGTTTGAGGATACGTTGCACAAACTCACATCTTCACTAAAACATCACTTCTTAGCGTGTTTATTCTGTAATCTCCAGAACAATCCGACACATTTAAAGAACGACTTACTTTGTGTAATATGTGAAACAAACAATAAGAACAATATGATGGCTGTTAAAACGCTCATGATTGATTATCATATCAGCATTCATGTGTCTAAAATCTCACAGAGATTACAATGTGTTCCTCGTGCTGTAGGCTCGATCCTTTGAACCGATGCATCCCGTCACATGTTGATTGATCATCAGTAGAATAAAGGATCAATCAGAGCAGAGCGTGGCTCAGAGAGCAGCAGAGGAAAGACGGTCTGAGGCCAAGTTAAACACACGACAGCATGAATATCAACAACCCGCTTTGAATCAACTTTATCGGTATAGAAACAGGGACAGATGCAACTTCTCAAGCCAATCAGTTACTCATCGTTCTAATCAAACACAGTGTCTGTTCAGTGTCCTCGATCACGTTCTTCTTCTTGTGTTTTACATGTGAAACCAGTTTATAGATGGATTCATTACTGGACGCCAGTTTAAAGTCAAACAGAGATCTTAAAGTTAAATTAGGAAGGAAACGTTATCACGAAAAGCTAATAATCAAGCGTAAACCAAACATATAAAATATGTATGCCTCTCTTTTTCATTCATGAAGGAGAGGACGTTGATTTAAAGAGCTAAATGTGCTGCAGAACGGAGCCTCCTGCTGATGACGGAGTCAATTTAAAGTTTGACAAACTGCTTCTGGCAGAAATTTGCGTGTGTGTGTGTGTGTGTGTGTGTGTGCGTGAGTGCGTGAGTGTGTGTGCGTGAGAGAGTGTGTGTGTGTGTGTGTGAGAGCTTTAAGCTCTGTGCTGACACTCCCCTGAGGGGAACAAATGACCAATGAGCTGATGAAGCCTCACAATGTGCAGCACTTTAATGTGCAGCAGTAGCATGGATAACCCCCGCCCCCCCCCCCCCCCTTTGATCTCAGCAGTGAGTTCAGGCTCTACAGTGAATCTCAATTACTGACACACACCATAAAGAGAAAAGAGTGTGTGTGCGTGTGTGTGTGTGCGTGTGTGTGTGCGTGTGTGTGCGTGCGTGTGTGTGTGTGCGCGTGAGTGTGTGTGCGCGTGTGTGTGTGCGTGCGTGTGAGAAACAGAGATAATGAGACGATGGGGGAACTGGACGTATATTTTCATTCAGTCATGTTGCCACAACTACTGAACAGTGTAGTGATAATTATATGAACTGAAACCACAGACGCGTCTCGAGCTTCATTTAACACAGAGGTTAAGCTAGAAGTGGGAATTAAATCAGTGTATTATTAATTGTTTTATACAGATGAGCGGAGCTCCTCGGTTAAAAGCTACAAACTCAGTCAGGAACAAAGACGATTGAGCAAAAGTCCGTTCAGTGTTGAAGAATCGTCTCTACAAGAAACTACATCAACTGTTTCCTCTTGTTTATAAAACAGACGCTGTGCTGCAGAGTTTTAAAGTATTACAGAGCCATTGCATCATAATGACCTCATTGCTGTTATACTAACTAATACTAATTGTCGATCACTGCTTTAAGAATCCATGTGTTTAGTTCAAATGTCTCTGCTGAAACTGGACAACACGATGTTTGTTCCTGCATCTCTCGTCAACGCGTTCTCACTCCTCAAGTCATCAAACACAGCAGCCCGTTCAGTGATCCTACACCTCACTGTATGACGCTCTACCTACTCTTTAACTTTAAGTAGTTAAGTAGGCTATGTTACATTTGTTTTACGTAACTCTACATAACCTATGTAATGTAATCAAGCAGGCTAAGTGTAGCCTCACTACAACGCGTATGTAACGTCACTCATAGGTAAAGGTTGACTTCTGGTTTCACAGCAGTAATGAACAGAGCTTTTCTGTCTCTTTATCGCTCTTCATCCGATGTAACCTGACTGCATAGTGTGGCGAGAACGTGTTGACGAGAGACGCAGGAACAAACATCTTCTTATCAAGTTGCACCTGAGACATTTGTAGGAACATTTGTTGGAGTGAGAACGAGCTGCTCTTGTTGGACGTTTCATCATTTTCTTCTACTTCTAGCTCAAATTGCCACTTTACTTCTAATCAACTACTTTCTGTGTTTGCTCTGTCTGTCAATCATTCCCCAACATCTACAACATTACCAGCATGGTCTGGTTTATGTTTCAACCGTCATGAAATATTGTCTGCTTTCATGTGTGTACTCAGGACTCAGGACAGCAGTCCGGACACTAAGGATCATCCTGGAGAAACAAGAAATAAAGTGAACGCTGCCAATCCTCTTCTAACTTTGCCATTGGTCGTTGTCTGGTTGGTGTTTTTTCAGAGGAACAGCTGAAGGAAGAGGAGGAGGAAGAAGAGGCGCTGACAGGAAAAGATGAAGAGGAGCAGCGCATTGCTGACATGGGCCGTCCCATGCTGGGAGACCACGTCAAACTGGAGGTCATCATAGAGGAATCCTATGAGTTCAAGGTGTGTGTGTGTGTGTGTGTGTGTGTGTGTGTGTGTGTGTGTGTGTGTACATGAACCCTGCAGGAGCACATGTTTGACTGTGTGGTCTAATTCACTTTTAGTACGTTTACAGTCGCTCTCTAAAACACTATAAAAGACGTATTAGTCGTTTTCGGACATGTTAGGTTCACTGGCTCCAGTTTTTATTTGAACTGCCACCAAATCAGACGACCTCACACACGACTCTGAAATACGACCAGTTCACTCGTGCTGCGTTCCTCTCAAGCGTTTCACGTATTTGACGTCAAAACTTAAACAAAAAACACGGCTGACTGACGAACTGATGCTTCTTTGGCAAGTGAACACACTTTGCACACACAAAAGAAAGAGAGGAGGGAAAACACCTCATGAGGTAACAGACTTTAGTTTTTTATGTGATAGTATGTATTATACACTTTACGTTGCCTTTTAGTTTTACCATTTAGAATGTGTGCTTCCACAAGCGCACGCTTTTGAGTGCGTCTTTCGCTCGTCTACATTGACAACAATGGATTTGAATGCCCAAAAAACCCGCGACATTTGAACGGCCACTGACTGCTGCTGTGTGTTGATGGATCCGTGGCGCTGTCCGTGGTGCTGAAGTAGAAGATGGATTTGTAATTGGTCTTGGGTCTATTATACTCTTTAAGCTGCATAGCTGTGGAGGGTATTACAACATAGAGAAAGAGTCTTTTACTAGTAACAGGTGAAAAGAACCTTTTGATAATTAACAAATCGCTTACTGTCAGCAGAATATCTTCCTCCCAACCATTGGTCCCTCTGGACCGTCCATTCTAGCATTAACCGTCATGAAGTCGAGGTGGATGGATTTAGTTCACAAGTAGGAACTCTGACTTTGTTTGGCATTTAATTTTACTTTTTCTAGAAGGTCGGAAACGTTCTTGTTTCGAGTTGTCTTGAACGCAGCATTAGTTAATTTAAAGAGACAGTACGCTCAACTATTAGGAGTTTGGAGTTGTCTTGAACGCAGCATTAGTTAATTTAAAGAGACAGTATGCTGAACTATTAGGAGTTTGGAGTTGTCTTGAACGCAGCATTAGTTTATTGTCATGATGCATCGTTTCTGTTTTGAAAAGTAATCAAGAAAATAACACACAACATGGACCAATGGGAGGATCTCACGACACAAAGGTAATCGGTTTCAAGAGATGCAGCGCACATCGACTGACTGTTAAAGTGGTCACATCGTATGTTAGAACTAAAAACTCACACAGAATCACCTCCGTCTCATAAAGACACTCACTAACCGCTTCAACGCAGGAAATGATTGTGTGTGCGTCCTGTCCTTGTTCTGCGTCTCCCACGCAGACTCTTAAGACAAGCGTGGATGTAATTACCATCACTGCAATGCATGACCTCTGCTGCCGCTCCACCTACACACTAGACTCTAGACAGTTAATAGCAACCAGTCATCGCTCCCCACTTGACAGCATGCTATACTTTGTCAAGTATTGCTCTACATTAAACTGTGTGTCTATGCCTGGAAGCAGATCCTATAGTCACCTGAAGCACTCAGACAGACGAGCACAACAGTGTGAGTGTCTGATATAACAGTTTCAAGGAGGAAAAAAGGAAAAGCTGCATTAATGAAGAGTTTACTTGAAAGTTGAAAGTTTCCTTTTGAAGTTAATTTCACCCAAACAAGGAAAACCACACGATAAATGAAAAGTATCAATAACAACGTAACTCAGACAGACAGACAGCAGACGTCATAATGAACATGCGTGTGTATCCAGAGTTATTGAGCTTTAAACTTTGAATTAAAACTATCTGGTTGTTTCATGTCCGGTTGTCAGAACCAACTCAAACTCTACAGAACAGACAGAATCACGACCGTTTCAGAGCAACAGGTGTTTCAGTTTAACCAGTGACCGTGTTAACTGGTGACGAGTGCGTCCTTAGTAACTAACGTAAATGAGGGAGAAAAGAAACACAGATGAGTCTGTCTGTGTTTAACACTGATGGAAGGCTTTAACGAGGACACCGACATGTTCTGTTGGTGCTTTCAACAGCTGACGAGCCACCACGACGCATTCGGCTGAGAGTCACCAGTCAACACGGTCACTGGCTAAACTCAAACACCTGTTGCTCGTCATCTTTGGCTGCGAGCTGTTAAACGTGTTGACGACCACTGGACCGTTTGTGACGGCCATTTTAAAAGTGAACAAAGGGAAACCTGTGAGTGTGTGTGCTGCTGTTTGACGTTCTGTTCGTGAACACAGAGATCAGAGTTGATCATCTGGTGAATGTCTCTCTGGTGAAACGTTACACGCTGGGTTTCTCTAAAAGAAGACATGTTTATATCTGTGGACACGTGCTAATGTCTTCTACCCACTAACTAACAGCACACGCATCTGTTTAAGTTGCATTCTCCATCTTTGCTGGTTAATGTCCTTCCATTGGTGGACAATCTATTGCTGTATTTCTGCATTCACTTACATTCATCATCGTTTCTACAAACTGTGAAAGGGTCCATAGAGAACTCATGAGCATTGGGCAAATTATGATTCTGTTTTAGTGACAAACATAGATGTTTCTTCATCATCGAGATGCTTAAAAAAAACGAAACAAAATAGAAAATATGTGCGAGAAAGAGATATTTATCATTTAGCAATGAATTATGGGTCAGTGTTGCCCTCATGCTGGGTCCTCACGGTGTTTATGGCACCACATCCTGGTCCTTCACACATATTCATACACATACAGAGTGCTAATCATCAGGATGTAAACATTCACACACTGTCACCGATGGCCAAGCCTTCGGGAGCAATTTGGAGTTCAGCCTCTTCCCCCAGGAGCACTTGTAACCGGGGATCGCTGCGCCAACCTTCCGACTAGAGGACGGCCCGCTCTTCCTCTGAGCCGCAAACGCCCTGAGAGTTTCACGTGTGTCCACGTCTGCAGAGACACGTGCACACACGTGCATTAGCTCACGTGTGATTCACAGCAGACCGACTGAGTCTAAAGAAACGATCTGAACGGGAAAAAACATCAGCGTTACACAGAGAGAAAAACAGAACCACGAAAAAGGAGCCTCGATTATGGATAAATAAACACTTCACATACAACAAGGAAAGTAAAGCTGTGTCTGTGTGTGTGTGTGTGTGTGTGTGTGTGTGTGTGTGTGTGTGTGTGTGTGTGTGTGTGTGTGTGTGTGGGTGGGGGTGTGTGTGTGGGTGGGGGTGTGTGTACTCAGCAGCGGCGCACTCTTGACACCCCTAAGCTCCATTCAACACAATTAAGATCCCAGTTTCCCTCTGAAGTGAAGAGAAAAGGAAGAAGCAATCCCCACTGCTTCGCTAGGTAGTGTGTGATGTGTGTGTGCGTGTGCATGTGTGAGTGTTTGTGTGTCTCAGTTTCTTCCTTTTGAAGAAAACAACAAAGAAATATAAAGACACGGAATGAAGGAGACAAGGAAGAAAACAGAGGAAGGACAGAGGGATTATGAAAAGAAGGTTGGAAAGAGGAAAGAGAAGGAAAGTGTGCAGAAGCAGATGAATCTAAAGCAGAAAGACAAACATGTTTTGCACATTTAAAGATGTGTGTAAAGTTAAACGGTTCACTCCTAAACCTCATCCCCTCACAACCTGTTACACACTCATGCTGCAGCCGAACATTGTTCAAGCCCACAGAACTTTATCTACATTTACAGTGGAGATGCCTGAGTGTCTGAATATACCAACTACACTGACTTTGTGAGAGTGCTACTGAAAGGACACACAGTTTGCTGTTCAGTGAAATGATGTGGCATCGGGCTGGTGTCTCCCCTCTAACCGTCATTATTATTCCTCTGTCCTTCGGCAGAACACAGTGGATAAGCTGATAAAGAAGACCAACCTGGCTCTGCTGGTAGGAACCAACAGCTGGAGAGACCAGTTCATAGAAGCCATCACTGTGAGCGCAGGTAAGGCCTGTGTGTGTGTGTGTGTGTGTGTGTGTGTGTGTGTGTGTGTGTGTGTGCGTGTGTGTGTGTGTCATGCATCAAACTCACAGATTGTATAGTGGACATAGTCGTTGAGATGTCACTCATTGGTTTGTGGACTGCCGATTAGAAGCTTTGAGTTAAACATTTTGGTCGTCGCCATCTTGTTTTTATTGCAACCAGTGAACAGGAAGTGACCATATCTGGACTGAGGAGGAGTG